AAGCAGTTCTAAGAGGGAAGATTATAGCAATACAATCTGACCCCAAGAAACAAGAAAAATCTCAAATAAACCACCTAATCTTACACTTAAAGCAATTAGAGAAAGAATAACAAAAAAACACCAAAGTTATCACAAGGAAAGAAATCATAAAGATCAGATTAGATATCAATGAAAAAAAATGAAGGAAAAAATAGCAAAGATCAATAAAATTAAAAGCAGTTTTTTGAGAAGATAAACAAAATGATAAACCATTATCCAGATTCATCAAGTAAAAAAAGGGAGAAAACTCAAATCAACAGAATTAGAAATGAAAAAGGACAAATAACAACTGACACTGCAGAAATACAAATGATCATGAGAGATTACTACAAGCAACTATGTGCCAATAAATTGGACAACCTGAAAGAAATGGACAAATTCTTAGAAAAGCACACCCTTCCAAGACTGAACCAGGAAGAAATAGAAAATATAAACAGACCAATCACAAGCACTGAAATTGAGACTGTGACTAAAAATGTTCCAACAAACAAAAGCCCAGCACCAGATGGCTTTACAGGTGACTTCTATCAAACATTTAGAGAAGAGCTAACACCCATCCTTCTCAAACTCTTCCAAAGTATAGCAGAGGGAGGAACACTCCCAAACTCATTCTATAAGGCCAAAATCACCCTGATACCAAAACCGGACAAAGATGTTACAAAAAGAAACTACAGGCTAATATCACTGATGAACATGGATGCAAAAATCCTCAACAAAATACTGGCAAACAGAATCCAACAGCACATTAAAAGATCATACACCATGATCAAGTGCGGTTTATCTCAGGAATGCAAGGATTTTTCAATATACACAAATCAATCAAAGTGATGCACCATAAAACAAACTGAAGGACAAAAACGATATGATCATCTCAATAGTGGCAGAAAAAGCTTTCAACAAAATTCAACACCCATTTATGATAAAAATTCTACAGAAAGTAGGCATAGAGGGAACTTATCTCAAAATAATAAAGGACATATATGACAAACCCACAGCCAACATTGTTCTCAGTGGTGAAAAAGTGAAACCATTTCCACTAAGATCAGGAACAAGACAAGGCTGCCCACTCTCACCACTATTATTCCACTTAATTTTGGTGGTTTTAGCCACAGCAATCAGAGACGAAAAAGAAAGAAAGGGAATCCAGATCAAAAAAGAAAAGTAAAACTGTCACTGTTTGCAGATGACATGACACTATACACAGAGAATCCTAAAGATGCTACCAGAAAACTACTAGAGCTAATCAATGAATTTGGTGAAGTAGCAGGATACAAAATTAATGCACAGAAATCTCTTGCATTCTTATACACTAATGATGAAAAACCTGAAAGAGAAATTAAGGAAACACTTCCATTTACCACTGTAACAAAAAGAATAAAATACCTAGGAATAAAACTACTTAAGTAGACAAAAGACCTGTATGCAGAAAAATATAAGTCACCGATGAAAGAAATTAAAGATGATACACACAGATGGAGAGATATACTCTATTCTGGGATTGGAAGAATCAACATTGTGAAAATGACTATACAACCCAAAGCAATCTACAGATTCAATGCAATCCCTATCAAACTACCAGTGGCATTTTTTACAAAAGCGGAACAAAAGTTTTCACAATCTGTATGGAAACACAGAAGACCTCAAATAGCCAAAGCAATCCTGAGAAGGAAAAACGGAGCTGGAGGAATCAGGCTCTCTGACTTCAGACTCGACTACAAAGCTACAGTAATCAAGATTGTATGGTACTGGCTGAAATACAGAAATATAGGTAAATGGAACAGGATAGAAAGCCCAGAGATAAATCCACACACATATGGTCACCTTATCTTTGACAAAGGAGACAAGAATATACAGTGGAGAAAAGAGCCTCTTCAGTAAGTTGTGCTGGGAATACTGGACAGCTAAATGTAAAAGAATGAAATTAGAACACTCCCTAAAACCATAAACAAAAATAAACTCCAAATGGATTAGAGGCCTAAATGTAAGGCCAGGCACTGTAAAACTCTTAGCGGAAAACATAGTCTGAACACTCTATGACATAAATCACACCAAGCCCCTTTTTGACCCACCCATTAGAGAAACGGAAATAAAAACAAAAATAAATAAATTGGACCTAATGAAACTTAAACACTTGTGCACAGCAAAGGAACCCATAAACAAGATGAAAAGACAACCCTTAGAATGGGAGAAAATATTTGCAAACGAATCAATTGACAAAGGATTAATCTCTAAAATATACAAGCAACTCATGCAGCTCAATATCAAAAAAACAAACAACCTAATCCAAAAATGGGCAGAAGACCTAAATAGACATTTCTCCAAAGAAGATATACAGATTGCCAACAAACACATAAAAGGATGCTCAACATCACTAATCATTAGAGAAATGCAAATCAAAATTGTAATGAGGTATCACCTCACACCAGTCAGAATGGCCATCATCAAAAAATCTACAAACAGTAAATGCTGGAGAGGGTGTAGAGAAAATTGAACCCTCTTGCACTGTCAGTGGGAATGTAAATTGATACAGCCACTATGGAGAACAGTATGGAGGTTCCTTAAAAAACTAAAAATAGAACTACCATATGACCCAGCAATCCCACTACTAGGCATATACCCTGAGAAAACCATAATTCAAAAAGAGTCATGTACCACACTCTTCATTGCAGCTGTATTTACAATAGCCAGGACATGGAAGCAACCTAAGTGTCCAGTGATAGATGAATGGATAAAGAAGATGTGGCACATATATACAATGGAGTATTACTCATCCATAAAAAAAAAAAGGAATTGAATTATTTGTAGTGAGGTGGATGGACCTGGAGTCTGTCATACAGAGTGAAGTAAGTCAGAAAGAGAAAGACAAATACCGTATGCTAACACATATATATGGAATCTAAAAAAAAAAACAAAAAAAAAACCGGTTCTTAAGAACCTAGGGTCAGGTCAGGAATAAAGACACAGATGTAGAGAATGGACTTGAGGACAGAGGGAGGGGCAAGGGTAAGCTGGGATGAAGTGACAGAGTGTTATGGACTTATATATACTACCAAATGTAAAACAGATAGCTAGTGGGAAGCAGCTGCATAGCACAGGGAGATCAGCTTGGTGCTTTGTGTCCATCTAGAGGCGTGGGATAGGAAGTGTGGTAGGGTGACGGAAGAGGGAGGAGATATGGGGATATGTGTATATGTATAGCTGATTCACTTTGTTATAAAGCAGAAACAAACACAACATTGTAAAGCAATTATCCTCCAATAAAGATGTCAAAAAAAAAGAAGTAACTTTTCCTTTTAAGAAGAAAAATTATGAAAGAAAATGATTTGTTCAAAAAAATTATTTGTTCAAAAAATTAACAGAAACAAGTGGTGTTGGAAAGACAAAAAAATTACAGACAGTCCTCAACAGAAAATTAACCTTATACTGCAGTATTATATCTACTATATAATATATGGATATATTAGTTTGACATTTTAGGCATTACCTTAACTAAACCTCATTATTAAATCCATAAATGTTTTTTTCTGACACGGAAAATAATACTCCACAATAAATGACTGAGGAAGTATAAACATAAATCATAAAATCTTAGTGAAAGAAAAAGCAATAGCATCTTTAAATACTAGGAATACTAGTGGGTACATCTATGACAAATGTAGCACAAAATGAAAAAGTATAACATCAGATTACTGGCATTTATCATTTGTGGACACCATTAAAACCAGTTTTCAAAATGAGTGGGAAAGCAATCAGTTAAAGATTTTCTATGATTTAATACGATCAAATGAACATCTATAATGTTCATCTAACTTATTGTTAGATGAACAATGAACAATGAACAATGAACATTATTGTTATGTTCATCAATCTAACTTATTAAGACTAATAGTTTACTGATCAATACTTGCTTAAAGACCTTTCCTCATTGTACCCAACAATCAAGAGTAAATATGTCATAAACTTTGCCAAATCTCTATCAGTTCCCAATTTGCAAGACTTGCCTTACATTACAGAGCCAAGGCCCTAAAACACTGTATATATATAATGTATCCTCCCTTGACTTTCACCTTCTGAACTACTACTAAGACTCTGTCTAGCATATTTTCCTTTGTGAAGTAAGTCTTATAAAATTAGATTTGCTTATCAGGAGAAATAACAGTGATATTTTGGGGGAATCAACAGCCAACAAGTAAAATAACAAGTCTTTCATTATTCATTTGATTTTCTTTTTCTTCCTTTTCTGATATTATATTATAAATGTGCTTTTGACAGAATGCCGAAAAATTCTTTGGATTATGACATTTTGAATAAGTAGAAAAACATACATTCAATAAAAATAAATTTGTCATTAACTAACCCAAATAAGAACATTCATTATGATTTGCACTCTTAATTGCTATCAGCCAATGGGAAAACCTTTTCACACCAAATGGGGACTAAAAGCCTAGAGCGAACACAATTTCTAAAACCCTGCAGTTTATTTAAACCTCCTCCTTACAATCAGAAGACCCACAGCATAATGAGACATTTATTTATTATGAATCTAAACCACCTATATTTATTAAAAGAAAATAAAAGATCAATACCTGGTTTTATTGGATCCACAGGGCTTTCTTCTTCTGAGCTCTCTAATAAATTCTTGATTTCAATAAACATTTGGAAATTTCTATTTCAATTTGTGTATGTAAACAAGTAAATATTTAGACTTGCAGGGATATAAAAATTATATATATTTGTGCTGTAGAGGCTATTTATAAATTGTTAAATAATTCTTAAATTCTCAAACAATTCTTTCAGAAATGTCAGAATTTATCTTTAAAAAAGCCTTTCTTAGCCAAAAGATTTCGGTTAGTAATAAGGATAGAACATATGGGAAGGACTTTAATGAAGACATTTCCAGTACTTTCTGGAAATTTTTCCATTCTTGTGTTATTATTAAAAGAGAAGTATCATTGACAAACCTCATATGTCGCTGGACCAGGAGTAATCTCTTTGGAATCTTTAAAACGCTATGATGCTTTAACAAATAAGGGTATGCAGCAAGATTTCTTTAAAACAGGATTGTATGTTGCAGGCCCTAAGAGAAAACAAATGTAAAAATAATAAAGCATGTTTTAAATTATTGATTTTGGTCACATGTATATTATTTTTAGATTTGTTATCTTAACATTTATATTTAGCATCACTCTTGAACCCATGCTTTTGAATGCTTAACGTCATTCAGTTCAGGGATTTGAAATATGATAAGCATAAAACACAAGCATACCTCATTTTATTGCACTTTACTTTATTGCACTTTTCAGATGCTGTTCTTTACAAATTCAAGGTTTGTAGCAACCCTGCTTCTAGCAAGCCTATCAGCACCATTTTTCTAATAGCATTTATTCACGTAATTCTCACATTTCAAACTTTTTCATTATTAAAATTATATCTGTTATGGTAATATATAATCAGTGATCTTTGATATTACTACTGTAATTGTTTTGGGGTAGCACAAACCATGCCCATGTAAGATAGCAAACTTAATTCATAAGTGTTGTGTGTGTGTTCTGATTTCTTCCCCATCTCTCTCTCTGTCCTTGGGTCTCTCTATTACCTGAGAAAAAACAATATTGAAACTAGGCCAAGTAGTACCCCTACCATGGGGCACTAGAAATCAAATGCTAGAAATGATTAAACTTAGTGAGGAAGGCATGTCAAAACCTGAGATAGGGGCTTCCCTGGTGGTGCAGTGGTTGAGAGGCTGCCTGCCGATGCAGGGGACATGGGTTTGTGCCCCGGTCCGGGAGGATCCCACATGCCGCGGAACGGCTGGGCCCGTGAGCCACGGCCGCTGAGCCTGTGCTCCGCAACGGGAGAGGCCACAACAGTGAGGGGCCCACATACCGCAAAAAAAACAAAAACAAAAAAACCTGAGATAGGTCAAAAGCTAGGCCTCTTGCACTAAGTATTAGTCAACCAAGTTGTAAATGCAAAGGAAAAGTTCTTGAAGGAAATTAAAAGTGCTCTTCCAGTGAACACATGAATAATAAGAAAGCAAAACAGCTTTAATTCTGTTTTGGAGAATTATGGAGAAAGTTTTAGTGGTCTGGGTAGAGATCAAACCAAGCACAACACTCCCTTAAGCCAAAGGCTAATACAGAGCAAGGCCCTAACTCTCTTCAATTTTGTGAAGGCTGAGAGAGGTGAGGAAGCTACAAATGAAAAGCTTGAAGCTAGCAGATGTTGGTTTAAGTAAAGACGCCATCTCCATAACATAAAAGTGCAAGGTGAAGCAGCAAGTGCCGACATAGAAGCTGCAGCAAGTGCTGACATAAAAGCTGCAGCAAGGGCTGATATAGAAGCTGCAGCAAGTTATCCAGATCTAGCTATGATAATTAATGAAGGTGGCTACACTAAACAACAGATTTGCACTGCAGACAAAACAGCCCTCTTTTGGAAGAAGATACCATCGAGGACTTTCATGTTGGGATGGCCAAAAGTTTAGGTCGGTTTTTTCCGTAAGATGGCTGTAGTAGCACTTAGTTGTCTTTAACTTCATTCAAAACAATCTTGTTAGACTGTATGTGACAGTTGTCATATCAGCGTGCATTTAAAAAAGACATCAAAATTGGCGAAGTTTTCTGTAGCCATTTTAATATTGAAGATGGAAGGAAAAAAAGCAATATTTTTGGCATATTATGCTTTATTATTTCAAGAAAGCAAAAATGCAACTGTAACGCAAAAAAATGATTTGTGAAGTGTATGAAAAAGATGCTGTGACTGACTGAACTTGTCAAAAGTGGTTTGTGAAGCTTCGTGCTGGAGATTTCTCGCTGGATGATGCTCCAGTCGGGTAGACCAGCTGAAGCTGATAGCAATGAAATCGAGACATTAATTGAGAACAATCAATGTTATACCACATGGAAGACAGCTGACATACTCAAAATATCCAAATCAAGCGTTGAAAACTATTTGCACCAGCCTGGTTATATTAATCACTTATGATTGGTTTCCACGTAAGTTAAGCGAAAAAAACCTTCTTGACCATATTTCCACATGCGATTCTCTACTTAAACATAATGAAAATGTTCCATTCTTAAAACAAATTGTGATGGGCGATGAAAAGTGGATGCTGTACATTACATGTGGAACAGAAGAGTTCGTGGGGCAAGTGAAATGAACACCACCAACCACACCAAAGGCTGGTCTTCATCCAAAGAAGATGATATTGTGTATATGGTGGGATTGGAAGGGAGTCCTCTATTATGAGTGCCTTCCGGAAAATCAAATGATTAATTCCAACAAGTACTGCTCCCAGTTAGACCAACGGAAAGCAGCACTCGACAAAAAGCGTCCAGAATTAGTCAACAGAAAACGCATAATCTTCCATCAGGATAACACAAGACCACATGTTTCTTTGATGACCAGGTAAAAACTGTTACAGCTTGGCTGGGAAGTTCTGATTCATCCGCCATATTCACCAGACATTTCACCTTTGGATTTCTACTTATTTTGGTCTTTACAAACTTCTCTTAATGGAAAAAATTTCAATTCCCTGGAAGACTGTAAAATGCACCTGGAACAGTTCTTTGCTCAAAAAGGTAAAAAGTTTTGGGAAGATGGAATTATGAAGTTGCCTGAAAAATGGCAGAAGGTAGTGGAACAAAAGGGCAGATATTTTGGTCAATAACGTTCTTGGTGAAAATGAAAAATGTGTCTTTTATTTTCACTTAAAAACTGAAGGCACTTTTTGGCCAACTCAATAGCTAGTGAGGAGAAGTCAATGCCTGGCTTCAAAGCTTCAAGGACAGGCTGACTCTCTTTGTAGGGGCTAATTACCTGGTGACTTTAAGTTGAACCCAATACTCATTTACCATTCCAAAAATACTAGGGCCTTTAAGAATTATGCTATATCTATTCTGCCTGTGCTCTATAAATGGAATAACAAAGCCTGGATGATGGCCCATCTGTTAACAACATGGTTTCCTGAATATTTTAAGCCCACTGCTGAGACCTACTGTTCAGAAAAAAAGATTCCTTTCAAAATATTACTGCACATTGACAATGTACCTAGTCACTCAAGAGCTCTGATGGAGATGTGCGATGAGATTAATGATGTTTTTATGGCTGCTAACACGACATCCATTCTGCAGCTCATGGATCAAGGAGTCAGTTTGACTTTCAAGTCTTATTATTTAATAAATATATTTTGGGAGTTTTCTGGCAGTCCAGTGGTTAGGACTCTATGCTTCCACTGCAGAGGGGTCCAAGTTTGACCCCTGGTCTCCTGGTTAGGGCACTAAGATCCTGCAAGACATGCTGTGCAGTCAAAATATAAATATATACTTCAAAAGGATCTAGCTGCCATAGAGAGTGATTCCTCTGACAGATGTGGGCAAGCTCAATTAAAATCCTTCTGGAAAGTGTTCATCATTCTAGATGCCATTAAGAATATTCGTAAAAAAAAAAAAAAGAATATTTTTAATTCATGGGAAAGGGTGAAAATATCAACCTTAACAGGAGTTTGGAAGAAGTTGAATGACTGAGCGATTCAAGACTCAGTGAAGGAAGAAACCGCAGATGTGGAAATAGTAAGAGGACCAAAATTAGAAATGGAGTCTGAAGATGACTGAATTGTTGCAGTCTCGTGGTAAACCTTTAATGGATGAGGCGTTGCTCTTATGGTTGAGCAAAGAAAGTGGTTTCTTGAGATGGAATCTACTCCTGGTGAAGATGTTATGAAGACTGCTGAAATTTTGATAAGAAAGGATTTAGAATATTACATAAAGTTAGTTGACAAAGCAGCAGCAGGGTTTGAGAGGAATGACTCCAATTTTGAAAGAAGTTCTATGGTGGGTAAAATGCTACCCACCAAACAGCATGCATGCTATAGAAAAACCATTCATGAAAGGAAGAGTCAATTGCAACAAATTTCATTGTTGTCTTATTTGAAGAAATTGCCACGGCCACCTAGCTCTTCAGCAAACACCACCCTGATCAGTCAGTAGGCAACATCAAGGTAAGACACTATACCAACTACCAACAAAAAGAGTATGACTTGCTGAAGGCTCAAAAGATGTTTAGCATCTTTTAGCAATAAAGTATTTTTAAATTAAGGTATGTGCATTTTTTTAGACATAACGTTATTGCACATTTCACAGACTACAGTACAGTGTAAACATAAATTTTATATGCACTGGGAAACCAAAAAATTTCTGTGACTCCTGTTATTGGGATATGTGCTTTATTGTGGTGGTCTGGAATCAAACCTGAAATATCTCAAAGATATGCCTGCACAGACCTCTGTGTATGTAATAATTAAATTCAAATCAGAAGTCATTTCCTAAAAAAGAAAACAGTACCCCATCAAAATATATCTACATAGTGAAAAAAGATACCCAACTCTTTTATTCCTACATATTCATTCATATGTTCAGTGAAGAGGTGATGACTGAACTCCACTGGGGATATGAATAAGATTTAAAGAAGCAGAAAGGTGGTTTAACAGCATTCTGGGCACTAAACATGACAGAAGTCAAGGCACAAATTTACATGGAAAAAGTTTTATGTAGCAAACAGATGGGTTAAATGGAACAGGGCCTAAATCCTAAATAAAGATTTTGTACTAGAGGCCATAGGTTTCAAATTGGATTCTAAAATGTACCAGAAATTCTAAAGAACTGCCCGGGGGACAATGTGTAGGTAAAGCCCAGATACAAGAGGCTTTAAATATTTTCAGCCAAAACAACTACAGATTTACTGTTTTATTTGTTTGGGTCCCATACAAGATTTTATTTAACTGAAGTTGTTTAGTAATTTTTTTTAAAAAAGGCTTTTGAAAACCACTTCCATAGTCTAGCTCTTGAAGTTTTTGACTAAAGGAGATTCATGAAGAAAGAGATAGTTTAAGAAATAAACTCTGGCAGTAGTTCATAGGATGAAATGACTGGAAGATGGGCTGTTTCAGGGTCACTAACAAGGAGTTCACTAACACTGATAATGGAAAGGAAGAACAACTCAGAATATTTTCTAAGAAATGTAATAAACATTTAGTATGTACAGTGATTAGAAGAAGATAAAAATGAAAAGTGGCTA